CTCCCCCCCACCCCCACCGTGTTGCTTGGCCACGTCTGTGAGCCCCCTGCCCCCAGGGTTCCAGACGAGGGGCCCTTTGCACCCCAAATTTGGATTGTGCACTTGGAGGTGGAGCCTTGTGCCCACACTGTTCCCTCTTTCCTGTGACCCCTGCCCACCTCCTCTGGGACCTCCTCACATTCTGTCGGGGGGTAGGGAGGTCGTGCCCGGAGCGAGTCCTCCCAGCATTGTCTGTCTCCCCCTGGGTGAGGCTCTCGGAGCTAAAATCCAATAATTTGATGGCTGGGCAGAGAGGAGGGGTCCCAGGGGCTCCTGTGAATGGTCCAGGGACGAAGCGGTCACCTCAGCTTCCCGGGCTGTCCCTCTGGGAACCTCTCCTCAGACCCTCCGCCTCCTGGCCTTCCTGGCGCCTGCCTTCCCTCCTCTCACCTCCCTTCCTGCCTCCTGGCTTCTGCTGCTTTTCCCAGCAGCTTCTGTCCCTTTTTTTCATTATTTATTTTCTTTTCCTCCCTTTCCCTCTGTCCAGCCTCCGCTGATCTTTTGCATATTTACCTGCTGCCTCCAGGGGCTGGGAAGTTGGGCTGTTTTGTTCTAGACAGGGCGGATGGCGGGGTGGGGGGGCAGCATTGCCTCCAGCAACGGGGCAGTTTTCCCAGGTGCCTGAGAAACTCGCTCTGCAGCCCACCCCGCTGCTTAGAGCAGAGCTGAGGATGCAGAAGCCGCTGGTGACCTTCCTGTCCTGGATGGAGGCACAGGCTGTCCCCGTTCCCAGCGTCCTGGGTCACCCGTTGGCTGAGATGGCCATTCGCACACCCTCTGCTCCTATCAGGGATGCTGAGAGGACACAGCAGGTCACTAAAAGCATAAAAGCCCCGTGTCCGGGCTCGGGACCATGCGCACAGCTGCGGGATGCCCTTCCAGTGGCCTTTCTCTTACTATAACAACAGAAACATTTCCGAGAATGGTGGGGAAGGCCGTCTCGTTAAACCGGGGGATACTTCTGGTTTCCCAGGCGGCAGCCGAAGAGCAGTGAGAACTCTGGGGGGGAGGGGGGGCGGGGCCCCAGCCTCCCCTGTGTGAGGTCTGCCCGCCTGGGCTACCGAAGGGATTCTGTCCCCTTTCCAGCTGCCCTCACTGAGTGGGGTGAGACCCAGGGAGGGGTCCGAGGCCTGGACTCTGAGATGGAATCAACATGTGCCCAGCAGAGTGGACATGCGGGCCGCCCCGCGTGACCATGGAGAGGAAGCCGCAGAAGCCCCTCGGAGGCCCAGCATGTCTGCCTGGCGTGAGGTCCCGTGTTCCTGGGTAGGGTCAGGAACACTGTCATCAGAATGGGAATGAATAGCCTTTAAAACGCTCTCTGATAAAAGCATCTGTATTTGACCTTTCCGATAATAAAGCCATTATACCACTTTTATGTAATGTTGTACTTCCGTTTTCAAGTTTCACCTGCTCAGCTGTTAGAGAGGAGACTTCAGGATGTAAATATTGATGTTGTTAGAGGTTGGGAGTCTCCTGGCTCCAGGTGACCAGGAATCAGACAGGGGACCTCTCCCCCCAGGTGACCAGGAATCAGACAGGGGACCTCCCCCCCCAGGTGACCAGGAATCAGACAGGGGACCTCCCCCCCCAGGTGACCAGGAATCAGACAGGGGACCTCTCCCCCCAGGTGACCAGGAATCAGGGCACCTCTCCTGCCAGGACCCTGCTGGGCCTCGCACCCCACTCCTACCGGCTTCCTCTCTCATCCTCCTGGCAGCTCTTCCAAACTCCTCCTGGCTCCCATTCCCTGCGAGTGTCCCCTTGCTGCTCTCAGCAGATGCCACGGTCCCCCCCTCAGAGGATGTGTTCCCAGACGGTGTCTCCCCCTCTGGGGGCCGGGCTTCGATCTCGAGGTAGAGGTGGCCCTGCTCTTGTCACCCTCACCGCCTGTCATCCTTGTCCTCGCTTCAGCTTCTGAACCTGCTCCGGTCACTTCCCGGGTGCTCCCGGGTCCTCAGCTCTCCTGGCTCCCGCTGCCGCCGACCAGCCCGCGGTCTCGGGGCAGAGCCGCGTCCCTGCGCAGCTTCTCCAGGAGAGAAGGCCATTGCAGGAGCTTTCCAGAGGTATAGAAACCAGCGCTTCAGAGCGGAGCATCTGGGGATGGGGCAAAGACACCACAGTGGCCTCTTAAGTACCCAGATTCATCTCCCTCTGATCACGGGCCAAGCTCAGCCCTCGGCCCCAACCACAGCCTTGCTGCCCATCTGCTAACTCCCGAGATGACGGTGTTTGTCTATTTCTATGTCTCTGGCCCGTGGACAAGCCTTATCTGGGACCCGAGTCCAGTAGACAGGAGCTGGACAGAAGTCAGGATCTCATCCTGCTGCCGATGAAGCTGCCTCGAGGCCCTGCCCTGGCCGAGGCCATGGACTTGCTTGTGGTCACCCCTGACTCAAAAGCACCAGGCCACTGGGCTCTGCAGGGCCAGGGCCCTTCCTGTGTGGTCATCGTCTTGGTGGCCTGGCTCCAGCAGAAGGCCCTGAGACGTGAACCTGGGGGCTCCCTTGGCTGCCTGGCTCACAGAACCCAAAGCAAGCTCCTGGAGGGGGCACGGTGTGTGGGGCCGAGTCCACGTGGACTTCCCGGTGGGTTATAATCCCAGGTCACACGACGTTCAGATGGTGCCGGGTTCAACTTCCCTTGAGAGCAACCCCATCAGTGGACAACCGGGGTGGGGGGTCCAAACCCCGATCCGATACCCACACACCCTGGAGCTTCTCTCATCCGAGCCTTTCTTCCTAGGAAGCAGCCTGGAGGGTGGAGACAGCGTTGGTTGACTTTCCAGATAAACTGTAAAGACTTAGGCACTCATGGAGTGTTTTCTGAGTCAGCACCTAAGGCAGCCCCTCCCGAGACCAGCTTAATCCGCCAGCCTGCGTGTCCTCCAGGAAAGATGTGAGTTCCAGGGAAATCGCAGGCTTGCTGGAGGCTGCTTTCCCGATGACAGATAATGCCCCAGAGCTGACGATTCCGGGAGGCCTCACGAGTCGGTTTCCAGGAACAGTTTACACTTTAACAGATGTGCTCCATCCCCAGGCGAGGGTCCCCAATGACCTCATGGCCTCTGAAGGTCCCCTTTTCTCCTGGTCTGACCTCCTTCAGTCTGCACCAGTGTCAGAGAGACTCTCCTCACCAGCTTCCCACCTGGCTTCCCTCTCTCCGCTTCACCCCTCCCTCAACTGCTAAAACAGTCTAAAAATAGTCCCCTCGGAGTCACCCACTCGCCCAGCGGGAGAACCTGCAGCCCTTCTCCATGAGGACTGAGGCCCGGCCCCCGGGGGCCGCCATCACCAAGCGGGCAAGGCCGGGAGCCACCTGCTCGCCCCAGGGCCTGGCACATGCTGGGTGCCCCCTCCACCTGTGGGCTCTGCGGGCCTTGCTGGCCCTGTCGCCGAGCTCCTGTCTGTCCTGGCCACTTGGCTTCTATTTCCCACATGGGATGAGAGGCCTCGGGCGGCCCCCTGGCAGCATCAGTCCTGACTCCTTTCATCATGGGGCCAGGAGGGAATCGACACCTGCACAAAGCCTCCTGCTTGGAAACGGGGCTGATGGCTTTTCATGAATCTGTTGCAGGAGAGAGAAACCTTTCGTGGTGCCTCAAATTCAGTCAAAAGGCTGCGATTGGATGTCTCTACTGAACCTTCCTGTACGAGGTCAGAGATCTGTGATTAGACGCCACCTGGGCCTACCTGCTTCTGTCCCCGTGTTTTCAGAGAAATTGGTGGATGGACTTTCTCCGTGGCTAGTGGGAGTGGGGTTCTTGGGGTGCTGCTGGAATAAGCATTTCCAGAGGCCCTCATGAGAGGAGGAGATTGGTAGAAAGCTTTATTTTCATGGAATTACATCCCTGGGTTTCCAAAGTCCCGTTTCCCTTCATCCAGTCCTGGAAGAGGTACAGCTGGGGATTCAGCAGACCTAGAAGTAAAGTGTCCAAAGTTCCTGTTCCCTGGGGAACTGGGTCTGGTACAGCATCAGGCTAGTTTCATTTCTTCAGTCCATTGTGTGTGGGGTCCGCATGGTTAAGGGCCACGCGGGCGAATGGAAGAGAGGATGAGCGTGAGAGCGACCGAGAGCCAGGAGCCAAGAGCCAGGAGCCCGAGAGTGAGAACCCCTTACTTTAGGGCAGGGGTGGGGAACCTTTTTTCTCCCAAGGGCCACTTGGATATTTGTAACATCATTCTTGGGCCATGCAAAATTATCAACTTAAAAATTAGCTATGAGAAAAGCTCCTAGATTTATTGAATTTCAAGTCCCACCTTCGGTTGCCTTGGCAGGGCCAGACCCAATGATTTTTTGGGCCCGTATAAGGCCTGTGGGCTGGTCATTCCCCACCCCTGGTGTAGGGGGTTAAATATCCCAGATCTTCAGGAGCTTGCAGTGGCCAGGCCTACTCTGGCCAATGGCCTGTTCCCAGGTGTGACGGACAGGCTGTACCTTCCCTACGTCACCCAGACTTTACCGGGCACCCGTCTATTCCACCCTGCCCCCAGCCCTGTTCAGTCCCCTCCCCAGCGATTTTTGGGGCATAGACCCCGGCTTCCCCGGGAGTGTTAAACTGCAGCTTCCTGGCAAAGCTGCACAAATGAATGCCTGCATTTGGCCTTGCCCTTGCTCCTTTCCTGTTATTAATAACTGCGTTAATTACAACAGGATCACTGGGAGCAGGAAAGTACAGGCTGACGCCCACCCTTGACTGTAGACCGCAGACCTCTGACTGGGGACGTGCTGGGAGGAATGGGGATGTGACGACTGGAGGGTCCTTGATCTTTTGAAGAAAGCGCACATCTGGACAACGGCTGCTGCGAGCAGGGCAGGCGATATCTGGGTGTTGCTCATAGAGGTCAACACAAATTCTTCAGCCCTATTCTGAAATTTAAACCTCATGTTTTAAAAAAACACAACCCTATAGTTTAATCTGATCCAGAAAACGGAGGGCCACATTAATTTGAGAACAGTGAACCGAGCACACCCGGCTGGTCCCTCTTCTTTCTCCAGACCACGCCCATCACTTCTGCCAAATCCCACAGATAATGATCTTCTTCCAGGAAAGCATGCCTGATAAACACTGCTTTTTGCCTGAAATCAATGCCCCTGAAAAGTTCCTAATAGTTAGCTCCTCACAAAGTTTCTCATATTATGTTTTCTCCTAATCACTTTGAAAACAAGAGTTCTGTTTGGGAAGGACCCAGTCACCCAAACGTCCCCACTCCTGCTAGTTTGGGAGGTACATGGAGATCACCAGAAGAATTGTTAACAAAAGGAGCCAAAGGCACAAAACTGAGATTTAGTCGTTACTCCTCCGGTATGATCGCAATGTTAAATACGTCAGATTTCACGGTGTAAAAGTTTCTTAAAGGTCAATGGTAAGAGGTATGCTATGAAGATGACACATAAGCTCCTCTAGACAATCGGGAAACTGCTAATATTATACAGCAGATACTTAGGAGCTGAAATACTGTTTCCAATGACAGCTTCATCTCAAACAACTAGACGGAAGTGACAGGACTGGGCTCTGCGAAACTGCTGATCCACAAAGGGGACCTGGTGACGCCGAGGGAAGACCTCGCTGTCCACGGGCGCGAGAAGACGCGACTGGAGTGATGGTGGAAGGTATGAGGGAGAAAAACCAATGCCCTGTATTCTCTGGTTCTGCATAGTCTGAGTGAAAACATGTGCTACAGGCGGACATCTGGGGTCTAGTCAGTGTCTCAGCAGTTGATCCATTCAGGTTGTCCAGTTTTCCCGTAGGATCTTCTTGTTGAGAAATGGGGAGTCGCTTTACATCTGGGGCTGCCTTGTGTCCAAGCCTGGCTCTCAGAGCCTGGTGTGCATTCGGCACATACCTGCCTCTTCTGACCTGTTCTCTCGAAGGCTAGGCTGAGGCTGAGGCTAAGGCTAAGTTTATTTTATCCCCCCCCTTTCCAGACAACAACTCCGGCGGGCAGGGCTGCCTTCCTTTTCTATTGCAACCATCCCCCCATTCGAGCGTCTCCTCCTGGGGTTCACTGGTCTGTACCCACAGTTTCCTTGTCTGCTGGATGAAGGGACTGAAGATGATCTGTAAGAACTGCTCAGGCTTTAATTTTGACTTACTGCTTTTTGACTCAGTGAGTCTCTGTTGGTTTAAAGAAGCTTTGGCCCTAGGGGGGTTATGGGCATCAGGGATCACGCTCATGCTGGAGGAGAGGGCAGATTTCTGACCCCGAGGGCACCATGCAACTCTGGGTAAAAAACCCCAAGACACATGCTAAAAATAAAAGGATTTATAAACAAGTTAAAACTGTCCTATTCTCCACCCAGCTCTTCCTGTAAGCTTTACACACACCTGTATATTCCAGGTGTTCTGCCAGGTGCCAGGGGCTCAGTGGTGAATAAGCCAGGAACCTGCCTCCAGGGGTCAGCTCCTTGGCAAAGACAAACAGAACAGCTGGTCTCAGGACGCAGGGGACCCTTCACTCTGGGGTGGGGG